AGAGGAGAGAGAGCATATTAAACTTAGACAGTTTGCAGCCGAGTCTGTCGAAAGCAGATCTTGCAAAGTATCTGCTACAAAACTTGTCAACAGAAATAATACAGATTTGATGCCGATTCTGATATATCACACGTTTAATAATTTAAATGTTGATTAAAATGTATCTGGTCGAGTGTTTTAAAACAGATAAGATTTGACCTACTCAATTTTAAATTAGCTGTACAAGTTTGTTTTGATTATTGTCTTATGTTTTCGATATTTTAAAACGATTTAAAAAAAAACAGGTTTTCTCAGCACGGAAGATGAAGTAGTTCCTGGCAACATGGGTCTGAAGGATCAAAGTATGGCACTTCGCTGGGTATCGGAGAACATCGAATGGTTCGGTGGCAACCCGGAGAAAGTGACTTTGGTCGGTATGAGTGCCGGTGGTGCAAGTGTGCATTATCATTACTTATCGCAACTGAGCGCGAATCTCTTTAAAGGTATTTTTTCAAGACGACACAAAAATCAATGAGAAGACTAAAAGGCGTTTCACCTATTACATTAAACAACTATGCAACAATTTTATATGATATAGGTGGCATATCATTTAGCGGTACAGCGTTTGATTGTTGGGCTCAAACAGAGAACGCCTTAGAGAAGGCCAAGAAATTGGGCGCTTTGATGGGATGCCCTACAACCAGCTCCAGAGATATGATACGTTGTTTGAGATATCGTCCAGCCCGCGCGATCGTCCAGGCTACAAGTGAATTTATGGTAAAATTTGCTGCTCTTTTTGTTGTCTTGAAACAAAAGCAACAAATGTGACCCTAGGATGTGGAAAATTTTTTATAAATCTGATTGATTTTATGATTTTAGCCGTTCTTATACAATCCCTTCACTCCTTTCGGTCCGGTAGTTGAGAAGATTGGTGATGAAGCACCCTTCATCGACAGAACGCCCGTTGAAATCATTAATAGCGGAGACGTTCAAGACGTACCCTGGGTTACGGGAGTAACGAGCGAAGAAGGCCTCTATCCCGTAGCTGGTAAAATAATGCGCAGAATAATAAGAAAATTGTCCTCCCCTTAATAAATATGCAGGTAGTTATGAATACTAATTCATCGCAGAGTTTATTGCTGTGGATCAAAATTTGAAAGAGCTGAACGACAATTGGGATATTCTTGGGTCGCTCTTCCTTGATTTTAACTATACCATCCCCAAAGAGAAACATATCGAAATTGCTCGTCTCATCAAGACACATTACTTTAGTACAAAACCGATCGATCGACAGAATACAAAAGAACTGATACAAATGTCGAGTGATCGCTTCTTCGTGGTCGATAGCGAGAAGGCCGCGCGAATGCAAGCTGGAGTAAATCAAAATCCAGTCTGGTATTATTACTTCAGTTACAGAGGAGCGCAAAGTTTAAGCGATTCTTTCAGCGGTACCACTGAGAATTATGGTAAGTTTATGTGGAATACCAATGTTTATGTATATTAAATTTACATGTAAGCGACGGGAAAAATTAACGGAGCCGACCGGGACTTGAACTCGGGATCCTTCGCTCACACGCCTAGCACTTAGGCTGCTACCCTAAGCACGATTGCTCCACTACTATGCTAATTTCCTCGATCTCTCATCAATACTGGCCCTACGGCCCAAAATCTCCTACATACAATATACTAAAGTACAGACATACACATATATTGTCACGAACTGACAAAAAAAATTCCATCCGTTTTTGGAACAATACATTTAAGTACTTTACCCGGGATTGAACTAGGCCTTGTGATTATTCTAAACCGAAAATATATCGTAATTTCTTTTAAACTTTATAACGAAAATCGGATTTATTAATTGAATTAAAATTAGGGTAATCAACTTCAGAATCTAAAGGAATGAGCTTATAACGCGGAACTTCTTGAATTAGATAACTTTGAATTTCGGCTTCTAATTCTCTTAGTTTTATGAAAAACGGGAAGGGATCCTAGTTGG